CATATCTTATTATGTTTGTTTAAAGTATTTATTTTCTATCCAACAATTAGATTTGAAAACCCATTAGGGTAGAGACTTCTACAGTGCCTTCTGCAGCACCAGCAATTTAAGAGTTTAACAAGTAACTAATGAATGTAGTATAGTCTTCCATAAATGGTTCAATACAAAAATGTGAAAATATTTTATGCATTTAGAAATTGCATATACCACAGGACAATAAATCAAAATTTTATTGGCTTTCCAATATTGACGATTTGAAGTGCTAGCTACTTTCTACACACTTGAGTTGTTAAGTAGCCCATGAGTTTATTGACTGCAGAAAAAGAGGAAAAGCTGTTTAAGTATCCTATTTTACTTGCTACACAATCCTATTTTCCCAAGTGCACTATGCCATATATTATGTGTTAAGCGCATTATTTATATGGCTATGCTATTTTCAGAAAAAAATACTAAACAACCATGTAAGCCCAAAACAGTGACATTTTTCCCCCAAAAAAACCGTAATTTTGTCTTCTCAGTCTCATTTTATAACATCTGTGCTGTTTTTAAAAATATTTATGTTTTCATTTTGGACAGCAGCATTACTTTAATTACATTTTAAAGTTTTCATGGCATTCTAACAGTTACTTCATTTCTTCAAGAGAAAAATACAAAAAGCTACTTGGCATTAGATAAGTATTTTCATCTTGCAACTACAGCTACCTATAATGAGAGTTCCCGTATTATCGCCTATACAAGAAACATACCAAGATTTGACACTTAATACACTTTAGGAAGATATTCTTGATAAAGTAAATACTAAGGAATCTGTTAAAATTGAACTAAAGGGATTTTATTAAAATGAAAAGCCCAAATATTCAAATAGAATCTTACTGCTACAAACTATAAGGTAATAACTGAAGTCTCTCTGAATATTTGACTTTCCAAAGTACTTATAATCTAACCTAATTGAGCTTATCATTTTAAATGAAAATTCTGAACACTCCTTTACAAGTTCTTACACCAAATCAAAGATACAGTTTTCTCTTCTGTGGCTTAATTCCTTTCTGTATCATCTCACCAACAGGAGCTGTCTTAAACAAATACAAAGAACTTATACTAAGAAATCCATGAGGTAATACCTAATTTGAATTCTAGACTATCACAAGATGTGCAATTACATTTCCGAAAGGCAGGAGCCCTTCTATGTTAGCTCACATTGTGTTCCTCCAAGCAGTGATGCATAGGAATGATGATGATGTTAAATCTAATTAGACACAAATTTACTACTTTCCCTACTGCTTTCCCATATTGCTAATATTATAAATAGCATCTGCTTTAAAAACTGCAGTAAGTTCATTGCAACTACCAAATGTAAAATGCTAGAAATCTGTTTGCTGGGAAAGTCGCTTCTAACCACGAGGAACTGGAAGAGATACATTTACTATTAATGGAAAGCCCCACCCCCCATTGACCACTATGCAGTCTAGTGGAAAAGAGCCCTAGAGCCAGACTGTCTAGATTAGAATCTCTGCTTCACCACCCCCACCAGACCATAAGTGACTTTACTGAAATCACGTTTAGCCTCTATTTTTAACTATAAACTGTGATGAGTCAAGAAGAAAATAAAGTACTTGGAAAAGGACCTTAATTTAAAACTTAAGAAACATTATTCTTTTTACTATTTTTATGTTCTTTTTATCATTAAATGCAACATCTAAGCAAATGTAACTAAGATAATTGCTTCTTTGAAAGACTAAATTATAACTGAGATCACACCAACTCTAAATAGACAGTTTCTAATAATATTATCCATTTCTTCCCACAATATAAAACCTACAACTTGTAGAACATCAAGCATGATGCTAACTTGGAACTGAAGTCATATCACCTCTCAGCCACATAAAAGACAGGCCTATAATGCCAACGCGAACACCCAGAAGATACAGGCTTCTCAGAACAATGAACCACATGGAACCAAAATGGAAACATTCACCCAAAGAGTAAAGTTAAGAAGGTAAGCCAGGTAGAAAAAGTGGACCAATGGAAATGTGGTGAATGCTACCACATTGTAGGAATTGCAACCAATGTCATAGACTAGGAAACTAACATGTCCTAGAAACTTTTACCTAACAGATATATTTTTATATTTATCAAATACAAAATTATATATATGTATATAATTTTGACAGTCTGTCTTTCAAATACACTCAGAAAAGTCCTACATACACAAAAATAGCACAACTGTAGAGGGACTAATAGCAAAATCCCTGCCTTCCACAGGGGAGAGCTGTTTGATTTCTTGTCAACATACCCAGTATACAGTCATCACTTGGTTTGTATTTTGTTATGAGGCTACACAGGTTTCAACTGCGTTTTCAGAGAAGACAGATTAAGGAAGGCATGGCAATCTTCTTTTAAAATCAACTGGTAAAAACAGTGTCACCACAGTCCAGTCCAAAATTGATCCTAGAGATGGCACAGAAGCAGGCCACACTTCTTTAGGAGCTGAAAGTCATGAGTACATAGTACAATCAAGCCAGGCACAATACAAGGTAAGCAATAATTCAAGCTAAGCAGCTGAAGCAAATTAATAATCAAAGGCCAAATTAAATTAGCACCTTTTGGTTTCTGTGTAAGCAATCCAAAATATTTCCTAAAGGACAAAATGTTTAAAGTTTTAAAGAGGCTATAGGATATTTTTGACAACTCTAAGAATTTGATAAACACTCTCAATCCTCATACTTGTAAGAATGTATATGTGAATACATTCATGCATTTACATATGGTTTCAAAGGACTTCTGAGCTACCTAAACATCTCATTCATAAATTCCAGCTTAAAAATTTCTAACACAATTACTTAGCAAATTGAAATGGTTTTAAATTATTCACCACTTCACATCTCAAACAGTAATACAGCAATATCTTTTGATAAAATTTTTATTACATTTTTCAAGAAAAAAAAGGCTTTTATAAAAGCCAATAAAGACAATAATGTTGCAAAATTTACTTGATTTGGCCTGATATTTGTTTTTAAATTGATCTTTTCTACGATTTAAATTATCGTAATTATACAATACAATTAACCTCTAAATTGCATCAAGTGAAAAGAAAAAATTCTAAGGCACCTTTTCTCAGCTTCCCTTGTTATATGATGAAGATAACTAGACAATTTAAAGATTCACATCATAAAAAAGAGAAGGAATAAAAGCATGCTAAGCAGTAAGTTACTGCTCTTAATCCTAGACACTTTCAGACAAAAATTTTCCTTTAGACTAAAAATACCTCTGTACAGATGCTGCATGGAAAAAAAAATGTGTTAAGGTTAGCAAGAAATGACAGGCAAGGTTAAAGAGAATGTGGGAAAGGGATTATGGGAAATGTATAGTGATTCGTGTAATCTTAAATTCTTTTAAAAAAAAACACTAGACTTTAAATATTATCAAAACAAATCAAATTATCCAATTAATCCATATACTTTACCTGAATTAATTCACATACTTTATAAATGTAAATCTTAAACTATCCTACTCTACTGTTATTTTCACTCACAGCAACCCTTCATCAGGATCCAAAGGCTGTAAAGCAGAGATTCCCATCTTTTACCCTTGGAGTAGGGGGTCAATCCTAACTGCTGAACTCTCGGTCAGCACAATGGAACATTATACACACTTGCAATGTATATGTTTCAAATATAATATCTAAATCTGTTAGGAAATGGTGCTATATTCCCTTAAAGAATTTCTTCAAGATATAAGTAGCTCCAAAACATTTCATGAAAAATAAAGGTACTTATTGTGATTGTATCAGGCTCAGAAACTGGCATTTGAGTTACTTAACACATTTTATAAAAAGATATTAGTAATGAAAAAATTAATAGGTTTGTTTATTTCTTCCTTAAGTTCACATTCTCTCACAAAGAACTGAGGGTCGGCCATACAATCACACTACAATGGAAGCATGTAATTGAAGAAGACTAATGAAATAAAAGTATGGTTAAGAAATAAAGACAAAACTATAGATTAGCCCATGAAAAAGAAAATCACTTGGTTTTACCTAATCTCTAGAATTGGGGTCTCTATCAGACAGTGTACAGGAGATAAGTCCGTCTCAAAGGATCAGAGTAACTAAAGGAAAAGTCAAACCCCAGTTGCACATTTCCTACTACCTGTTTGAAGCATTTTTGAAAATACAACCACTTTTACTATCAACTTTGGTTAATGGTTTATGAGATGAAAATTTAATGAGTATCAAATACCACTCATAGAACAGGCAAGAGGCTTATGAGCTGGAAGGTTTCTACAATACACTCTTGCTCTACTTTGAGAATTAACTTCAATAGCTCTGAAACGAACAAAGCAAACTCCCTACTCACGAGATATAAAATCTTAACAGTAACTTAAGGAGAATTTTACCATAAATTCACAGATACTGTTGTTGTCAGTTCTGTCTTGTAACAACCCTAGCACAGTGGAAAGAAGGACTGACTGGCTAGTCCAGAACTTAGGTACTGCAAAGAGAACATAAGGCCCACAGAAATCAAAGATACAAGAAAATATACTTATTGTATGAGGCAGAATAAATGTTCACTAGCACACACTGAAGACTGGACAATAATAAATGATTACACTAAAGCAGGCAGAATTTAGACGGTATATTAAAATAATTCTAGAATTATCAGTATTAAAATAAGTCTCTAGGTATTTTTTTCAATATGAAAAGAATGTAAAATCACTTTTCTTGGATTTTAAAATATAAAATATGCTGTCTTGAGGTAGGGGAATTAAAATTACCTATACTGGCGCCTTTTATTAATTGCAGCTTAATAAACAAACCAAGCCAAATTCAACCAATCAGAAAAACTTAAATGGTAAAACAATATATGTATTGAGGACATAAAAAACCTTGCCCCAAATGCAAAATTTAAGATTTTATCAAAGTTTCCTCAGAAATGAATTTAACTGAAACTGAGGAAGTCATATGAATAGTATATCTGTTTTAACATGCTTTCTCCACTTACCTGGTCTTTCTCATGGGGTAGGAGACTGACGGGTGGGAGTGAGGATGGAAAAGCACTGGGATACTTGGGAGCCCCTTTGCCATCTAAGCTTCCGTAATTGACACTGTACTGTGGTCCATCTTTCAGTAACCTCCCATTGTTGACGGCACGTTTGGCCCCTAGTCGCAGCCGCTGCTGAAAGGCTGGGTTGTTGGTGGTGCCCGTGAGGTCACTTTGATTTCTGAGATACTTCTCTATGTTCTTCAGGGAGGAGCCATTAGGTTCTTCAAGTCCTTCAATTGCTCTCTTTAAAAGCTTATTCCAATCCACATTGCGAAGATCACTGCATGATCCCTTAGATCCCTTGGTTGACTTGGGAAAAGTGCCTGGTTTAACTGATGAAAAGCGCCCAGGATTGTCTGGGTCCTTATAGGAGGCAAGGCCTTTGTTGGTGACTTTGAGAACGGAGCCATCCTGGACACTGAGTTCCAGCTGTTCAGAGACCGTCTTCTTATCCAGCCCATGGGAAGTGCTGACCGCATGGCAGATACGCTCTTCAGAAGGCCTTTGCTTTTGCTTTTTTATTTTTTGTATAGCTTCCAGAATCCACTCTGTATAAAGTGGGTTCGCAAGTTTTACCATGGTTGACAAATGACGTCTTCAATACAAAAGTTACCCATAGAGATTCTCCTTGTATTTAACAGAACTTACACATGTAAAAGTCATTTACAATTCAATGAATGGACAGGTATTCCAGACCTCATTAAGCAACATCTTATAAATATCCACCCTTAAAAGACTAAAAAGGGGGCTGCCAGGCAACGTTGACAGTTGTCTTCTTTTACCAACAGGAAAAACTTCATTCAAGTGAAGAACATCTTTAATTAGGAAGTCAAGACCTTGAAGGGTAAAAAAGGGAGAGGGAAAGGATTTTTAGTAATGGAATTCTAGAAAATAAATTTAAAAGCTTCTTTAGTATCACTTTTGCAGATATAAACTCTATCAAGAAAAAGTTCCCTCCCCCAGAATGGCCACAAAAAAAATGACAAGGTGGGTATGGGCTTAGTGATGACAGTCTGGCCACAACATAGATCACAATCTAAACACTTTTTATGACATGACTCATGATAATTTAAGAATCATATTTAAGCTTATACTTAGTGAATTAACATTATTAAAATCAAATTAGACAAAACTTGGTCAAGATATATGACTACCACAAAAATGTAAAAGTAGTCAACATCAAAGAACACTTCAAGGGGACAAAACTTTGGTGAAACTGTATTAAATGAGCTCTGGCTGCATATTCTATAAAGGTGCACAGCTAACCCAAAGGCTGTGCTTTTCTGGTGGTTCAAAACCACTGATCATTCACTCTTCAGGAAAAAGATGGGCATCTTTTCCAAGATTTCCAACCTTGGAAACCTAACAGAAGATCCAGTTACGAGTCAGAAATTCAAGTCAAAAGGAAAAGAGTCAATAATCTTCTTTCTTCTACTTGAGCTACGTACAATTTTTCTGAAGTTTCACACATAAGAAAATTTCCCACCTCTGTGGAATCATATCTTTTCATCCCTTTGCAAAGAGAATATAACACATTATAACACACGGGCTGAACTGAAGGAAATACAGCAACATAACTCTTCACCTTTAAATAAGGTCGCATTCTAGGTATCTTAATACCCAGACATGAAATTGCTCAACACAGGCATGTTTGTACAAATCTGATTCCAGGTGGGCAGAGGTATTGCTCTCTGAGAATCTTCTGATATACACAAGAACCATCAGAGTTCCAACTTGCAAAAAAACACTCGAGAAAGCACCTTGACCTAGGAATGGGGCCAGATCTGAATTCTAAACTTATCTTTTGCTAATAATGTCCACATTTTAACTCTTTTTATAGTTTAAAGGGTGCAGAGTGTGTTGTTGGGTACAATGCCATTTAAACTGCAGGAATACTAAACTGGTAAACTGAGGCTCAGGAGAAAATATAACTCACTCAAAGTCAGTCAGTAGCAGATTCAAGGCTAGAAGATCATTATTCTAAATTCAAGTCATCTACAGTCTTATTTCCTAAACTAACCTGCCCTCGCTAGGTCTGCCTTTGCAGTCAGACCAAGCTGGATTCGAGTGTCAGTCATGTCCACGTCTAGTGGAGAAATCTTATGTAAGTAACTTAAGTTTTAGTCCGTTTACTTATAGTATATCCATGACAGGACTCTGACGGTATTTAATATTCAAGTACATAGCTGCTATTGTCATTTCTATCCAATACAATAATATCTAACTACTTTGGAAGATATTTCATAAAATATAAAATTGAGATTATCTCTGATTATGAATTTAGGTAAAATGTACGTAGAAGGAGAAAATATCTTTCCGCAAAATGTAAGCCCAAAAAGATCCCGTCTGAAAAACAACGTATACGGATTTGTAAATAAACCAGTATAAAATGAAAACATTTTTTTAAAAAGTCAGCCCGATATACTTAGCAAAATTTCTCCTCAAAAAGATAATGGTCAGTTCAAATCCACCAGATGCTCTGCTGAAGAAGGAGGAACAATCGCCTCCTGTACCAGTCAGATCCAATTTGACCGTACACACATAAAAAAAAAAAAGATAACGGTGTAGGAAAGAGGAAAGAAAAAAAACACACTGGAGTACTGCTGAAAGAGAGCAGGGTCACTGGACCACACTTCTTCAAAAGCCAGTTTGAAAGATGCTATTTAAAATTTATTATCCTCTTTGAGATCAGAACACTGAGACCCAGGGGGGGAATATCCCTTGTTTAATAACACCAACGGATAGGCCATCATTTCTCTTACACTTTCAATGAGAGCCTTTCACTTTTTTAAGGCAGCTCACTTCACTACTGAACAGCTATTGAACTATATTGCTTGCTCAAAGGAACCAAAATTAGCCTCTTCATCATTTCTGCTTCCTAGTCCCAGTACCCACGGAGTAATCCAAACCAAAAATTCTTAATATCTGTCAATATGACAGGCCTTCAAATCTTTGAAAACAAGCACCTTTCAAAACCCTCCTTGCACCTATTACATGGCTGCTGAGTACCACTTTCTCTTGGTTAATCACCAGTGTGGTTAATTAAGGTACATCTTAAGAGCTGACAGTCAAGGCACATCCAATTGCAAATGCAACTCAAGGTTACAAGAACTTTCTTAATAGCTCTGCCATACCACTGGCTCATGCTGAGCAGGTTCCATAATATTCTCAGAATTTTTCTTTCTTTATAAAAAACTGTCAAGCTGAGTATTTCTATCCCCTTCCTTGTTTAAATTTAGTACTCGGGTTTTAAAGTTCTATTTTATCTTGTTGGTCTGTGTCTATCTTCCAACCTGTTAAAAAAAAAAAGTTGACTTTTGATTCTGTCATCTATGTGATCTGTAAATTTAATAAGCCAACCTTTTGAGTCATTACATAAATCATTGACAAAAATGTTAGACTTGAAACACAGTATGTTTAGGATTGAAATCACTGGCTTTCAAAGTGCTACCACTTTCAGGATAGACTACAGGATCACTCTCATGTTAGGAAATTTAGAACAGATCTTTCCAAAGTAAAATGGTTTGGGGCAAAATTTCAAAGGGAAACATTTCACTGTGTCTAAGCAATTATTTCATCTTTCATCATTTATCATTTATTCAGGATGAATCACAACTAATTTAATCATATTGCACAAAATTCAACAAGAGAAGAGGTCAGAGAAAAGTATCCCACACAGCAAATTTGCTTTCAGGCATTTTGGTTACATAAGCAAATGCATGTTAAAACAAAGTGCATTTCATAATTGATAACGACTTTCCACCATAATCCTCACCTACAATCAAAAGAATAAATCATATTCACTACCAATACATTTTAGTAAGATATTTTACATGTTAGAGATAAAATAAAAGCTACCATCATTGACACTCCAAATGCTTTAACAGTCCATGGTAGAAGATTGTCCAGGTCTTCAGGTAAATCTGAAAAAAAGGTAAAAGAAAAGAAATGTTAATTTGGCATAAAGACATCTCTTAAATGTTGCAACCCTCTACAGATCTCTACAACTGCTCAATAAAAACAGTAACAATGAATTTATTGTACATTTGAAGACACAGTCACTCAGACAATAAAAGGTCTGTATTCGTCAACACAGAATTCAGGACAGAAGATATAAAAAGGAAAAAAGTCTAAAGAAGCAAATGTTTCCCTTTAAGACCAGATCTGCCAATTTTTAAAAATCAGTTTGTGACAAATCCTAAGAATGAATTCTATCATTGAGAGGGAAATCCCATTACTCAAGCAAGTATAACAGTGTATCTTGGGGGAGAGCTTTTTTTTTAAGATCAACACTACCTTTTCCAGGCAGTATTCACTATTCCAAAGGTCCCTTAGCAGCTAGGTACTTACTGGACTATCAAGATACAGTCAGTAACTTGAGTTAGAAGGGTGCACCAGTTTCTACCAGCCTAGGTGCAGTCATGGCTACCTTTAATTCAAATGCAAAAAAAATATACATTTAAAAGCAACAACTGTGAATAAGCATATTTTGATTTTAAACAAAACAACTAGGCAACTTCAGCTCCTCCCTCTCCTCTTCCACAGAGACACACCCCCACTCCTCAATTTAATCTCAAAATTAGCTCTCATCTGACACCAACCAACAGAGTTAATTAGGCAGAAGCAGCTGTAACTCAGCAGCTTTGCAACAAGCAGACTCACAATACTTAAAAAAAAAAAGAAAGAAAGAAAAACCCACAGGGAGAGAAATAAAATCAAAAGTCTGTTATCTATAGCCAATTTTCAACTAAAACACATGTACATTATCCACTTTGTGTATTATCCACTGCAATTTTTTTAATCTTAGGCTGGTTTATTTCTGACATCCCACTGGCCCCAACATAAATTGATATAAAACTAATAGAATGAATTCCAATTTAATTTTAGTCTAAGCAGTACCTAACTAGAAAAGACCAAAAAAATCCACAGAAATTAAAAAAAAACAACCACCCATAATTAATTCAAAAGCTAAAGAGAAACAAATGCTTTTCTCCCCCACCCTTCTGCATAATGCACACTTCTCTCTTTCAAAGCCATGAGATTTGTTTCATATGCAGATAGGACATACTAACACAAGTTAAACCCTAAAATAGTTCAATCCTTTTTTTTTTTATAAGAACTTGCAAGTTAGACCAAAAGGCTATTAAAAGAAAGAAAATATCATTCTAAATTAATTCAGTGACTCAAACTAAATCATGTTATTTTCTAAAGTTTTGAATCATTTTCTTTTTAAGCTACAAAATAATAAAAATTGCATGGTTGTATCATACAGGCTTATCACAAAACACTGTTTACATCGTTCATTACAAAGTATTCTAAACAGATCTAGAGAAATGTTTAGTCCAATAGAGCTTTAAGCCTCATTAGTATTATATAAATATCAACATTATTCAGAAATGTACATGTCAGCATGAGCAGAATCAAGTATCCTAGATCTTAAATATAATGTGAGGTCTCTTCCGAGCTTTTATTAAAGTTAGGTGGTGTTTCAAAATCAATGTCATAACACTGGAGTCATGAGATTATGGATGAGCCAAAAACAGTGAAAAACAAAGATTAATAGTAGAGTTTATTCTTTTGTCATCCGGAGTTTTAATTGCTAACAATATTTTTAGCTCTCTTACTTTTTATAGGCTCGTGGATTTTTCTGAAAGTCCGTTACATAACTGAGTAGGGATCCTTAAGCCCTAAAAGCATCTTCTCAAAGAGAATATAAACTGCTTAAGGGAAGGTGTCTTGCCTTTTCATTTTTCATTAACTCCCCAGCAGAGGCACTGGCAGTTGCTCAAAATAGAATCCTCAGTTAACAAATGTCTGCTGTCTGACAACATCAAACATCATCCATATGGTGATATTTGTTAACTTTCAAGTCCTGGATGCATCTATTTCCCCTAAAATCAATGCTTGAGGCCCAAAATATGTGATTTGGGAGTTAAGGTTATAAATACTAATCAAAGAGCAGCCAACAAATATTTAGCAAGATGATGATATTCCATGCACACAGCCCTATATATACACTTTTGGAGAATGAAACAAATATGAGTACTAATTTTCCTACCAAGCTGAAGAGACAGTATACCAAAGAAACAACATGTAAGAAATAACAAAGCACTCATTTATATAAGGGAGCTCGGGTGTCCTAGCGGCAAGGAGTTGGGTTGCAAATCCAAAGCCAAGTGGTTTGAAACTATCAGCTGCTCCAGGAGAGAAAAATGGAAACTCTCCTCCAACATGATTTATTCCTCTGAAAACTGGCTCGAGGGTTGGTTCTAACTCAATGAGACATAACAATTTATAATAAAAAAGATAAGGGATGACTTTTCACTGAGGAAGACATTTAGATGGTCAACAGAAACATGAAAAAATGCTCCAAATCACTGACAATAAGAGAGATGCAAATCAAACCACAATGAGAACAATCTTATGCCAGTATCAGTGGCAAAGTTTAACAGGACAGCAAATAATAAATGTTTGAGAGGATGTGGTAAGATAGGAACTCTTATACATTGTTGGTGAGACTGTAAAATGGTACAACCACTCTGAAAGGCAGTTTGGCATTTCATAAAAAAATTCAAGAAAGTCCGTACGACCCAGCTACTCCACTGCTTGGAATATACCCTGAGAAAATGAGAACTGAGGCATAAACAGAGACTTACTTCTACACCAATGTCCATAGCAGTGTTATTCACCATAGCAAGAACATGGAAACAGCTCAAATGCTCAACCACAATGGAATGGATTGAGAAATTATGGTACATTCACACAATACTATGCAACACACAGGAACAATGATTTTGTAAATTACTACCTAACAAGGGAGGGACTGCAGTATTATGCTAAGTGAACTAATTCAGTCTCATAAGGACAAATACTGTATAAAACCATTACTGTAGAATGAGTATGAGGATCTAAGGGGGGAGGGCGGGGGGCTTAATCACAGGGTCACACAATTTGATGAGTGGAGGGTAAAGAAAAGGAAAAAGATCTGGTGTGGAAAATAATGTATAGGATGAACTTTGTAAGTAAACCAGTATTCAAAACCAAACAAACCATTAATGCCACATTCAAGGAAAATATTGCAGAAAATTATTAAAAAAAAAAGACTAGAGTCATACATATAAAGGGAACTATAAGAAATCCAAATATATGGATTCAAGGATATCATTGGTGGTGTCAGATGGAACTCGGCTGAAAGCAGAGAATACCAGAAAGATGTTTACCTGGTTTTATTGATCATGCAAAGCCATTAAATGTTATAGATACTAATAAATTATGAATAACATTAAGAATATGAATACCAGAACACTTAACTGTGCTCATATGGAATCTATATATAAATCAAGAAGCTGTCATCCAAACAGAACAAGGGGCTACTACATGGTTTAAAATCAGAAAAGGTGTGCATCAGGGTTATATACTTTTTCAACACCTAGTAAATATATATGCAGAGCAAATAATTCTAGAGCTGGACTATATGGAGAAGAATGTGACACTAGGATTTGTGGAAGACTAACATCAACTTATTGAGATGATACAACTTATCTGGCTGAAAGTGACGATCTGAAGTATTTCCTAAAGAATATAAAAATCTTCTTCCAGTATGAATTACACTTCAACAATAAGAAAACACAAATTTTCACAACTTGAATAAGCGACACTTGTTGTTATGTGCCATCGAATCACTTGCATCTCATAGCGACTCTATATGTACAACAGCCCTAAACCCTGTTCTATTCTATGTCAGTCTCAGTCTCCAACACACCCACCCCGATTAACCCAGTCACTGAATCAATCGATGAAGAATAATTGAAGTTCTCAAGGATATAATTTTACTGAGATTCACAATTAACATCCATGCTTCTAGCAGTCAAATCAACAAATGTATTACATTGGCAAATCTGCAGTCAAGAACCTCTTTAAATTGCTAAAGAGCAAGGGTGTCAGTTTAAATACTAAGGTATGTCTGACCCAAGTAATGGTATATTCCATTGCTCTGCATTCATGAAAAAAGTGGAACAATGAGTAATGAAGACCCAAGAAGAATTGCCTGTTTAATTGCGGGGTTGGTGAAGAGAATATTATATACTACACATTACCAAAAGAACAATCTGTCTTAGAAGGTATTTAATCAGGGAGCTCTGGTGGCCTAGTGGCAAGAAGCTGCACTGCAATCCCAGAGGTATACAGTTTGAATCCACCAGATGCTCTGATGGAGAAGGAGGGACAAATTCCTCCTGTACCAGTCAGATTCGATTTGACGGTAAACACACACAAAAAAAGTTTTTAAAAAGGAAGGTATTTAATTAACCACAGTGCTTGTAGGAGGCATCTCACAAAATTTAAGTATATTTTGTATATAGGAGGTGCTAGTTCTTGGAAAAAAGATATTACTTTTGGAAAAGTGGAGGGTCAGAGAAGGAGAAGTATATGTAATGACCCAGTGATTGCAACAATGGCTTGAGCATGTCAGAGGTTGTAAGGATTGCTCAATATTCCTATCAGTTTCTTCAGAGAATCACTGAACTGGAGTTAACTTGAAAGCACTGAACCAGAATGATTTAGCTACATTTGTCGTTAATAATTTTGTACTTAACATTAATAAATAATAAAATTAATACTAAAACAACAACAGTATCTCCAAATTTCTGTCAGCCCTTCTCACTGAGAGTTATCCTCATTTTCACTGACTCCTCACTTGATGAAGCTTCATCTCACATACTTGAGGAGGGGCCAGTCTTAGGAAAAGACATCACGCAGGAAAACCAGAGGATACCAAAGAGAGGAAAACATTCAACTTAATGGACTGACACAGTGACTGCTCAATGGCCTGGAGCATAGCAGAGCCTGTGATGAGGACAAGCTTCAGATCTGTTCACAGGGTCCCTATGAGTTCTGGTCGACCCAAGGACACCTAAAAACAACT